ATAAAGGCAAAATTTAATGCAAACTCAAACCAATTCAATTCATGAACTTTTACATGAAATGAAAATTATTTAAAAGGCAACCATTATAACTCGTTTTTTTCAACTTTTATTACTTGTTTATGCATAATGATGATGATGAAGATAATGACAATTGAAAAACAACTATTAAGCCAAAGATTATGCAAAAGAGTAGAAATGAAGAGAAATAAACAAAAATACAAATTATTATTTCTTATAATTTGTATCATCATCATTATCATTTCTTATGTTTCCACCAATTTTGTGTATCTTTTAAATCTTGATGATTCTCATTCCCTCATCATCCTCATCCTCATCCTTCTTAACCATTTTCACAGCTTTTGTTTGTCTCTGTTTCCTGTTTATTGCTCAGTATTTATATCATTTTTTTTGCTGCTGCTGCCTTCTCATCATTTTCAAAAGATGATCATCATCATGATGATCCTTTCCTGAAGCTGATTCCAACAGCAATTTCAACCATGAACCAAAAATTACCCTCCTTTAATCATCATCATCATCATTTCTTATAATGATAGTCCATACATTACTCCACCTTTTTGATGCTTTTTTGCACCCAAACTTCAGTAGTCAGAGACTCGGATGGGAAACCACTTGAAAATGATGAAGCAAAGCTTCTTAGTTAAAGGGAAAAACTTTCAATGCAAAATGGTTCAATCAGATTTGATGATCAACTACCAAGTTGAAAAAAAAGTATATTTCACTCCCAGTCAAATTGACCATCTGATAAGGCAAAACAAATGTTGTTGTTCATCATGAACATCATCTGTTATCATTATCTGGATAAACTTTCTTCAATGCAAAACGTTAACATAAACCACAATGAAAATTGATGATCCTTGTGATTGTATCCAAATACAGTTAAACAACTACAGAATTAATCATTGATTAATCTTTTTACACCACTTTTTGTTTCCGATTTTCTGAGTTTTTTTTCTACTTTGCAAAAACTTGAACTCATTAAAATTTTTAAATTGAATTTTCATTGTTTCATGTTCAATGAACGGAAAACATTAAAAGATGATTTTTCATTTGCAATCTTAACCTATTAAGCAACACTTTTGCAAGACAGTTTTCATGGAGAAAAGCTTTGAATGGAGAAAAAATTTTCATAGTTAATTGATTAACTGTTTGGAAAGGGACGATCATAATGATTACCTGATGATATAAAGCATCCATTTTTTATCCTCAAACATTTAATCACAATCAATGTCAACTCAACCATGAGACCGGAATTCCAATAAGCAGAATTTTCTTCATCAGAATTGATAGAAAACAAGGTTGAATGAGAAACGTCTCTTTACCTTACCTTTATAATAAACATTCATATTCAGGATTCATGATGAAAATAGATTCTCAATGAACCAAAGAATTGCAAGGTTTACTGCAAAATTTCAACATTTTTGCTCTTTCATTCATCTTAAATGTTTACTTTGATGGAATGGAAAAGGTTCAATAGTTTTCATTGTTGTAATAAAGTAGACAATTAGAGTTGAATATTAATTACAGAGACTGTGATGATTCCATGATATTTGATGAATTTCTTTTCAAATGAAATTTCAACTCTAAAAGTTAACCAAAGAAAAGGTGAGATTCTTGAAATTCAGTTGAATTCCAAATTCAGGCATTTTTAGTATTCATGAAGGGAAACATTTTATTTGATTAAACTGGTACAAAGAAAAAGGGTCAATTTTTATCTACTTTCATGCATTTAAATATCAATATAACTGGATGAAAGAAGTGAAAGAAGAAAAAAAATTTCTCATTCATTCCAATAACTTTCATTGATTGTACATTTGTGAATAGTCGAAAAAGTCTGACTTTATTTCGACCTTTTCATCCTTTAAAAGTTCCAATTTCAAAAAAGTTTCCAAATATTTCGAAAAGTCAAACTTTTTTCGGCAAATCGTCACAATTCGACTTTCAATGTTCAAATATTGTACAAAACATTTCCATCTGTTTACCTATTCTTTCAAAGAGCGAGAACTAAATGAATTTATTTTTCAGACAATCTTTCTATTCTTTAAGCCATTATCCTTAAGTCGGACTATAAATAAACAGACAAATCGTGAGATTGAATCAAACAAGTTAGAAAGTTTCATGTCTTGACTTAACCATGATTGATGGATAAATGATTGACTTTTGTTTCTATGATTGATCCCATAGTTTATCAGCTAATCATTTCAATTTCTGTTCCAATTATCATTCTGTTTCTGAAAGTTTCAACATTTGGTTAGAAGAAGAAAGAGAAAGGTTGATAAACAGAGGAATAATTTTTTTTCTTTGTTGTATTCATCTTTTGTTTCAACAGCACATTTGACAGATTCAGTCAATATGAGAACAAAAAGCATGATAATAAAAACAAGAAAAGTTTGAAAACAAAAAACTGGTTGAAAAGTTGCAAGTAAATGCAATTGTAAGAAGAAGACGAGGGAAGAAGATAAGGAAGATGAAGATGGACAGAAAAGATGAGAAACAAAATAAGGTTGAACAAGAAAGGAAACACGAAAAAAAGTCTAGAAAAAGATGAAATACGAAAGATTGAGACCGGATCCGGAAAGGGGTGAAACTAGGAGCGTCCAGTGAAACAAAGTGTAAGTGACTTGAAGAAGGGATAAAAGATGAGAATCACTGTTAGCCCATTAGAAAGAGTGTCCGGTTTAGTTTGGGTGAATCTTGGATAAGATGATGATGATTGGAATGAGAACTTTTTTTCTTCTCTTTTTGACTTCTTTTCCATTGAACAAGAGCAAGATCCATTAAGATTGGAGAAAGACAAGAGAATGGTCAAGATCACAATTTGGTCATCGTTCTCATCATCATTATCTTCTTTACTCTCAGAATCATTGATTCATTCTCGACTGATAAATGTTCAATTTAATCTAATCCATTTCATGGAGACACTTTGTCCACTCAAGATAATCAAATGATGATTACTAACAAGTTTAACTAATCATTTCAATTTTTCATCACATTCATTTTTGGCCAATTTTCATCATTTGCATTTCATTTTGTTTCGTTATTTGTTCATCACTTTCAGAGTTTTATCCCGTTCTGTGTAAACTTGATTAATCTTTACCTTTTAATGATGTTCTTGAAAGTAATTGACAACTAATTATATCATGCTAATCAATTGTAATTATAAACATTTATAAATATGGTATTCAAAGATTGATGGTTTTAATGATGAATGTAAACAACTGGATCAGGTTTTACACTTTCATTTGTATCATTTGTCAAACTTAATGATAATCGCAAGATTATTATCATCATTATTCAAGTTGATCATTGAAAAAGGTGTTAATTAAAATGGATTATTTATAATAATTGGCACAAAAAATTCAATATGAAACTGAATAATAAAAATATTAAAGAATGAAAATGCTTGAAAAATTTTCTTGAAAAGTTTTTTGTTCAAGATGTTTAAGCACTTCAAATTTATTGCTTGGCGATCAAAAATTATAAAATAATGAATGCTTGTTAAGTATCATTTTTCACGAAAAATATTCTAATCACCTGAATATTGACAGTTTTTCATCGAAATTGCATTCGTTTTCGTGAACTTCATCGGCATGTTTGTAATGAATTGGCTCGTATTTATTGATATCTAATGATTTCCAAACATGGAGTCGTTCAGGTGAAGTTAAGATACTCGATCAGAATCGACGAGCGTCAGTTCAAGAGAGCCAGTATTAAAGATCTAAAGACTTACAAATACTTGTCGAAAAATGGCTTGACTTCATTCAGTGCAATCACGATCCCTGTTTTATTGTCACAGTTACTTTCAAGTTTAATCTGAATTAACGTGAAATCCTTTCATTGAATTGGTGAGAAAACTTTCAATCGTCAATTTTCTGCTTGTCATAAGACTGTGTATTTCAGCAAAGCCCAAAACATATCCTAAAGAGGCTTAAATAAAAATTTAGTTAAAAATATCACTTTTGAAACACTTTCTATAGCTGCTGAAAAATTTGTTGAAGGATTCCAACTTCACCAGAGCATTGAAGTTATCTACTTCAAAAATACGCTCACTGTATGTTGTGTTTTGTGTGCTCCAGAATACAAAAAAAGACTAGACAACACATTCGTTGGCCAACAGCATTCTTTCAAACGTATAAAGTCATTTAAGAAACAACTTGTATGTTCAGGTGAAGTTTGGATGAATCAAAATGTTGAATTCAAAATATACGTTCAGGTTTCGCCGAGATTTGAACTCGGATCTTAGGATTCAAAGTCCTAGGTGCTAACCGTTACACCACGAAACCGATAATAACTCAAGTTTATCATACAATAATTGATCAATCACTTGATTAATTTGATTAGTCAACTTTTTTCTTTCATTTTCCTCTTGAAACTCTTCTTTCTTTTCCAATGCTTATTCACCTGTTTCTTGCTCATATTACACTCAATCCAAATGGAAACATCAATCAATATCATTTTTAATTGAATGTCGACTATTAATCAAAAATCGTTATCTAAGGTTTCGTGGTGTAACGGTTAGCACCTAGGACTTTGAATCCTAAGATCCGAGTTCAAATCTCGGCGAAACCTGAACTTTTTCTTCCGGCTTCATGAATTTTGCCAACTCAACGAATTACCATAATCGTTTTACTCATATTCAGATCCTCACCTAATAAAAAATCGAGTTTTGAAATAAAATTTTCATAATTCGGTTAAACTTCAGATCAATTTCGAACAGCTAAACATTAAATTTTCATTCAAAACTTTCAGTTTATTTGATCAACTTTACCAAAGTGTAAACAATTAAAATGTTATTGAGTCTCAATTTAATCAATCGCAGCAAATCTGAACAATTTAAGTCGATTTGATCACATTTCGTTACAAAATTGTTGAATTCCCCGATTCCCTTAAACAAGAGCCTTTCAATGATAATATCAAACTTTTTTGGTTCACTTCATTTTTCATCAGAATTTTTCTTTCCATTCTTCTCTTCATTTTCTCAGGTTCCTTTTGGGTAAAAATGAGACCAGAGAGATTAATTGTTGGACGTCAAGGATCAACAGTGATTATTGATTGTTTTGTTAATGATGATATTAATTTCAATCTGGATACAGTTGATATAACATGGTTAAAAGACTCAAAGCCTCTTCTTTTTGACTCAAGGATTCAACTTGTTAAATCCAATCGACTAAAGATTGTTTCACTTACACGTCAAGATAAAGGGGTCTATCAATGCCTTGCCACCTATTCACCCTCACCTTCACCCTCATCATCTTCATCATCATTATCATCGGCTAATCCCTTAACAGCATCTGATTATGTCGAGATAATCCTTCATGGTAAGTTGAATCAATCCTTTACCAACAATTGATGGAGTAACTTTGAGTTTCCTTAATTCCTTTTCACCATCTCTCAACCAATTTCAACAATTCAATTATCAATAAACAAAATCTGATTACTTGATCAACTTTTATATGTTGAGCAACAAATGCTAAATCAATTTAAACATTTCATTTAACCATTCAATCCAATAACTAATAACTTTATTGATATTCAAGTGAAACTCAAACCATTTCTTTCACCAGCAAAAATTGATTAAACTAATTATTCCTATCAATTTTATTGATTTAATCATCAACTTTCTTCCTCAATCTAACCCATTACATTGACAAGTTGCTTACATTCAACCTGCAAATTTCAACCTTCTTTACTCATGAGAATTGCATGTTTTTCACTCAACTTGAACTTTCTGTTTCCACCATTTTCAAATAACCAATTGATATGAATAGTAAATGTCTCTGCAACTCTATCTTCATCTTCATGATCATCCTCCAGAGAATCCCATCTTCATCTCTTCAACATCTTTTCATCACTTTTTTTTCTCTCCATTTCTTTCTGTTCTGACAAGATACCATTCAATCCCAGCAGATTATCATTCTTATCCTCAGATTATTTGCTTCAAAAAAGTATTAATTTTCCTTTAAATCTTATTCACTTTCGCCAAACTGAAATGTCCAAAGTTCCGAATGAAAAATTTCTAAAATTATCATTCTATTCAAGCTGAACAATCTAAAATCCGGTTAAAAGCTTTTCAATTTTTCTGTTAAATTAAAGCTCAACAATTCAAGTCCAATTTAAAGTAAAAAGTTGAATCAAATCTCAAAATGCAACTAAACTCAAATGAAAAGTGAAATAATTGTTCATAAAAAAGCAATTTTTAAACTCGAAAAGAAGAAAATAATTTTCACCAAATCTCACAATTAGCATGTAAAATTTCAAGTGACAGAATATGAATAAAAGTGATTAAATTGAAAATTGAAGTAAATTTGATGGACTTGGAAAAGTGTTGAAAATAATGAGCAAAATGAAATTCAAACTTAATAACCAAATAATGTAAAATATCCTTAGGCTTTAAAAGGTTTCATTTATCAAACCTCAAAAGGAATCCTAAAAAACCAAAAAAAAGTCAACTCATGAAACTCATGAAACTCGCAACTTCATGAGTGATTCAAATTTCCACAAAGTTCAATTAATCAAGAGAAAAATTTTCAAACTCTTTCAAGACAAAAACGATTTAGATTATCTGTTGTCACAAGTTTACAGATTTAAAGGGAAAACTTTTTTTCTTCTTGAAACAAAAACTTTAAGTTAAAGGACAATGTTTCTCATGATTATCCTTATTGAGCGTGAAAATATCAAAATAATGTCATGATAATGAAATGATAATGATAACTGAAGACAATTGAAGAAGACATAAGAATGGGTTTAAAAAGTATTAATGGAGCAAAAACTGTGCAAATGAATGCTTTTAACAATTGTTTTTGATTAAAACTCTAATGACCTTAAGCATACACTTTCAATGAAACTTTTGAAACATCAAACTTTGCAGCTCTTTAATTTACATGGAAACAATTTTGCTTCATGAAAATTATCTTCATTCATGGAGAAGAAGATGAGGAAAAATATAATTTATCTAATCATCATCATAATCATCAGTTTACTTCTTCACTTTTTTCTTCTTCTTCTTCTTTGCCATTTCATCTCATTACCGTTAAAAGGTTCCTTTGAATTCATTTGTCATCTTGAAAGATTCTTACCTGTTTCCATGTTTTTTAATATTTTTCACTCCCTGAATGGTTGACAACTTTTTTGTCTCTCTGCACATTTTGAAAGGATTTTTGTGTGAATGGAAAAAACACAACTTTAATAACATGTTATTTACTTAGCGAGAAAAGTATTTAAGCTTTTACTTTTGCTTATCAAATTGTTCAATGTGCACAGTTCAACAAGCCAATAAGTATTGTTATTTGTTTACACTTTGCCATCTTCATCTTCATCATCATCTCTTTTCCCCATCTTTAAGTTGTTCACTTTTATGATCAACAACTGATCAATTTTTATCATGAACAACTTGATGAAGATAAAAATTGTTGACACTAGAACTTTGTTTATATCCGAATCAACTCATTTCAATGAAATTTTTCATTCCTTTCACTTTTCAATATTTATTTTTATCATCATCTTTTCATTTTCATCATTTACTTGAAAATATTTTTCATCAGCAAAGTATGTCTTGCTAGGCTAAAAGACGTTAACCTGTCAACCTAAGCAAGCCACCTTCATAGGATCAAGTCTTGCACTAGTTTAGCCATTTCCACTTACCTTCAAAAAATGGGAAAAATTTAAAAACTCAATTTTTCTCGTCCAATTTTGTCTTATTGCTTTCATCGCCATCTTTATGGTCTACATATTATCATTATTTGGATCGAAATCTTCATTTGAATTATCATTTTTTTCGAAGTCAAATTAGGCAAATGAAGGCTGATACTTCAACCTAACAAAGTCACCATCGCCGGATAAGTCTTGCTTTAGTCCAGCCATTTCCACGTAAAGTTATTACTGTATTTTCATTTTCATTTTACCTCTAAAATTAGAAAACATTTAAAATTTCAATTTTTCTCTTCGAGTCTACTTTAATTATCATCTTTATTTTCATCATAACCTTCAATCAAATCATCATATTTTTCCTCATCAAAGTACGTTAAGGCCAATGAAGGCGGATGCTTCAACCTAAGACAGTCACTATCATCGCATCGAGTCCAACTCACTAACCTCTACTTTCATAAATAATAATGTAAAAATATATTTTTCATTTTGCTCTTCTCCTTCCTTTTCATCTTTATAATCTTCATCGCTATCGTTTTTATCATCATCTTATTTTTTCCCATTTCTTCCGGTTTCCATCTTTACTATTTATTTTCACACACATACAAATTTTCCAATTCCATTTTTGGTGAAAGTTCTGAGAAAGCCAAAAATGATAACTCAAATGATGAATTATCTGTTATTGAATCCATTTTTCTGCTCTTCTCTTCCCTCCTTTCCTCCCTCTATTCGCATAGTATTCACAGTTTTTTCAGTTTGTCAAATATTATTGATCAACATTTTCTTCAATCATTTCAATTTCACCAGGAAATGAGCTTTGAAATGTTGATTTCAGTCAAAATTTACAATTGTAATTATCAAGATAAAATAAATGAAAAGTGAACATTGAAAAATGTTAAACATTTTTCATCTTTTTTCTCCACTTTTCAATTCATTATTGTTGCCTTTAAATGTTGCCTTCAAACTCCATCCCTTGTAATACCAATATGAATAAATTATTATAAAATATTGAAAAATGTATCTAACCAGTTGAAACAAGTTCATCTTAACCCTGGAGATGATTTTTTGTTTGCCTCTTCTCTTTTCCCATGTAAACATTTTCTCCATGTTCAGCCATTCACTCTGATTCTCATTCTGTTCACATGCCACCTTTTTTGATCTCCCTGAGGGTCACAAGAATCTTAGTGAATCTCTTGAATCAAAGTTCTTAGGATGAACAAAATATCCTTTTGAATGAGTAAAAAAAGAGGTTCAACTTGCAATGAAATCTGGCGAGTAAATAAAGATACTTTTCCTTCTCATCGACATTTCAAAGCACATTTCAATTCACACTCATTATGAGGTCAAGTCTTGGATTTAAAGTCTACTCGAAAAGGTTAAACTGTATTAACAGTTTAAATCAGTTTCCATTTTCTGTTCAATTGTTCAATTGTCTGCCAATATTTTTTGGATTAAATTTTATTTTCACTTTAATCGAGATTAACTCTTTCATTTAAATTAACCGCTTCTTTTGTTTGTCGTTTGGCTGTTAATTGTTTTCCCCTTTTCAATCACATGTTTCCCTCACTTACTTTTTGACTTTGCTTTTAACGGTTTTTTGTCTTTGTTTTACTGCCATCAACTTTACAGTTAATTATTTTAATTAGTTTCAATCTGTTAATTTAATCAAATTTACTTTTAATTTAATTGTGTTTACGTTAATGACATTGGTCATTAGTTGGCTGGTTTGTATTGAAATGGGTAAGTAAACTTGTAATAAACTCTGTTGGTTACTTTCATGGTAGTCTTTTGTAAAGCATATTGTTGAGTCATTTTTTTCTGTTTTCAATTTTCAAATTCAATTAAAGAGGATTGAACTAGTTGCTTGCTGATTTTTTTCTTCATTTGGTTAACATGGTGGAAATTTTGATGGAGCAAGTTGATTACAATTGGCCATTAAGCAGATTTGGTAATCTTCAGACAAGGGATGGAAAGAGAAGAAAAAAGGAACAGAGGAGGAAAAATTGATTCTTCAGTTTTTCATCTACTTGACGCTTTTTCTTACCTTAACATTGTTGGTTATTCCTGAATGACAGATAATTGGTTGACTTTTGCTTTTTTCCTTCTCGTTGTCGTCGTCATCATCCCAACTCACTATAAATCACTTAAGTTAACCTTAAAGTGATGAATGCCTCAGGGAGTCAATAAAGTCTTGCTGCTGGTGAATGGGAAAAAAAGTTGAACTCTGTTCTTTGCGTTCATCCCTACGAGAAACCAATGAAACTATTTACTCCTTTGATGGTGAACAATAATTGAAAACCAAATGTTATTACAATTTAACTGCTTCCTTCGCCAGTCAATGATCATTTTTCACAACTTTACCAAGTCAAGTCAACTCTCAACCGTTTACATTTGAACAATTATTTGGCCATTATTCACGATTTAATATAAAACAAGATTGAATCCTGTTCTTTTTCTCTACAATTTACGTGTTGCCTTTTCCATTGTCACCACTAACATTATTATTGTTATTCAAAAGGCATTTACCTATTTAATGGTGGCTAAAGGTGGTGAAAACAAAATGCAACTGTTAAGGTGAAATTAATGGCTTAACAAGTAGTTAATTGTAAACGAAAAGCTGTTTAACATGGAAAAGAAGGAGTATGGGAAAAACATAATTGAGTAAAAGTGATAATTCGCTGATGATTTCATTCAATTTATGATGAAAATTTCCACCAGAAAAAAAGCTAATCTTCAAATGATTCCATCATCATCCTTTTCATAATACTCATCATCGCTATCATCATAATCATCTTTATCATCGTCATCTCTATTAACTTCGTTGCTGTTTGTTGTAAAAGGGAATTACAATGATTCAATTACTTTTTTGGCAAATTGTTGAAACGTTAAGTAAGTAATCAGACAAAAAAGAGCTGGCCAACAATGAGGATAGCGAATGATAATGACGATAATGAAGAAAAAGAAGACAACATTTGAAATCTTTTTGTACCAATCTTTTATTCATTTATTACTATTTTCATTCAATTCTCCCGAGTTTTGTGTAAATAACACAATTGTCACAAAAGTGTATTGGACTCAAGTATAGTGTAATGCTGGACACACACATATAAATGGTCAGAAGGCTGGAAAAATCAAAATGTTTCAATACAAGTCACGTGATAACTATAAACAGTAACAATAATAAGAATAACATGAAGATAGAAACTTGAATTGAGAATTACAGTTGATTACAGTTGGTCAGGGAATTGGTCAGAATGAGCATCAAGAGGAAAAGAGAGAGTAAAAAAAGTGGACAGAAAAGTTTTTATACTTTTAGTAACATTCGCAATTGTAAGACACTTGAAAATAATATTCACATGGGAACTGTAATATATAAACTGTATTAACTCAAATATTAGCATACTTTTTGAGGTTACAATTTAGCTAATCAACAATTTATCGTCCAAAGACAAATGTTTTATTAGATTGAAAACAAACGACCAACTTTGGTTTTAGTTTATTTGCATTTCTCGTGATAACATACATTTAATTTTCTCTTTCATGCAGACTCATTCCAGCTTTTTGGCTAAACCCAAGTGTAGCCAGTTAATCAATGGGATACAACTCAACCTCTAAATGGCCAGCAAAGGTCTTGAATCATCTCTTCGTAAATTATCATGATGAGCTGATTCAACTTGCCTGTATAAAGTACTGAAAATTGAATAATTTTACTTAAGGAGACAAATTCTCGAGCTTGAAATTTTCTCAAAGATTCATCGTTTATAAGCTGAGCGTTCAGGACAGAAATACCAATTTCCAAAAGCCTATTTCTTGACGCCAAAAGCCTATTGCCAATTGGAGGAAAAAATGTGTTTATGTTAATCCAAATCATGAATTCCACGGAGCAGATGCTCGTTTCAATTTTAACCACGAATCAGAAAGTTTATGTCACTCGAAACTCGAAAAATTTTCTCCATCGAATGGCGTCATTAGCTAAATAGTCGTTGATTCGTTAAACAAATTGAATGATTCTTGCATGTTTGCTTTTCAATAATCAATGCTAAACCAACTTCAAATATTAGCAATTAGATTTCAAGCTCAATTTCCTAGTGCTGTGCATCAGACTGTGCTAATTGCTGTTTCGTGATCTACCATCATCGCTTCGTTGACAAAAATTGCTTGAAACTACTTGAATCTTTTCATGACTTGCAGAGTTGGTTATTTACTTTTTCGCGAAATTGATCAAATACATAATCAAAGTGTTGATGATTCCAGTTATACTTGTTCTATTGATTATGAGCAGTCATCCAACATGAAACTATCTTCAAAGTGCAACATTTAACCTTTGATCATTTGCTCCAAAACTTTAAGATGACTCTAATAGTGAACTCTGTTGAAGAGCCATGATATTGAAATAAGATTACAGACAGGAATGAATCTGATTGAGCAAAATGTTAATAAAGTTAATGAGCACCAAGAGAATTAGATTTACTTCTTTTATCCATTTTGCTTTCCATTTTCATGATTGATAGTTTCCTGATTAAATGCTGATCATTTTGCCTTTCTCATCATCAAATTTTCTCGCTCAAATATCGATATTTTTTCCATGCTTATCATTGTCCATCTAAAGGGTGTTACGGATAAAAAATTACTTTTATCTCAAAAATGATATCAATGAAGATGAGGATGACAAAGATAAAAATGTGGATTGACCATAGGAAAAGCACATTTCGTCGTTTCTTTTCTCTTTCTTCGCATTCT